ATCTAAATTGCTTTTTTATTGGATCCGCTTAGTAAAGCAAATTACTAGAGAAATAAAAACTGAGTTCGATTTGAACAATATTTTTCATGAATATCACATTGGAATAGATAAGAAAGTGAGAATCAGGGCAGGTAAAAAATGAACTACCACTTTCCGCTCCATGAAACAGGAAAGTCTATTTCAGACGTGAGTACGAATTGGGAAAAGGAAAACAAATTTACAGGCGATCATAAAAGCGTAAAGAGGATAAAATTAGTGACATTCTAGAAAAATAATTTAAATTTCAAGTGGCGATAAAAAATGTAAGTAGTAAAAAAGCCCATTCGATTTTTGCAATTACGAGGGAATTTTTTTTAAATTTTCAAGGAAACCGTATAAAACTTGAAAAAATGTGTTCCTCTACGTAACTACTATCTACACTAGTACAACTAGACCAGCGTTTCTTCAGTTGTTCCACTCTATTTAAAAAGAGTCGCGACGCTACTGCGCTTTTCAAGACATTTGAGGCAAATTTGCAATCCCTGAGTTTATTTTTTAGATGTTTGAGCAAAAATAAGTCGCATGGTTTGAAATCTGTGCTATGTGATGGATGTCGTAATACTATGAAGCGACGGTTAACGATAATGCCTTTATCATAGGGAGCTATGTGGTTCCTGCTGTTGTTGGCCTTGAGTTCATTCATTTTGCTTCCATTATTCAAGCATTAATCGATTCCTTTTGCCATGTGTAGGCAACCCTCACAGTTCCAAAAAAAATCTTTACCGATTTTCCAGACGAAGACTTTTCGAGAGTAGAGAGCTTTTATAGACCTACTGCATTGATTTCCGTTTTTTGGGAGGGATTCACGTTTCGTGGTCTATAAAAATGTACTAAATACATTCCTCATCATTTTCCAAAACGTCCCAGCGCTCTTCACAACTTTTTGTTCGCCGGTTTTTATCCCGACGTAGAGTCGGATATCGTGTAGTTTTCTCATGCCCAAATCTTCAGCTTTTTTTCTTGTGACCGTACTTGTTACTTGTTACTTTAATTTAAAGATTCTTGTTAAAACCGGCGCCGGCGGCGGCGCAGAAATCTCTGCAGAATAAGCCTTCCAAATTCAAAAAGATATATGGAAAACGGTATAAATAAGCATAAAATATGGTCCAAAAACCAAGTACATACAAAGATAACCATTAATCATTAAGTTGTGTTTAACATTTCAATGTGTACTGTCATTTTCCGTCCCCCGTAGCGTTACTCTTACTCCGAAAGAAAAAGTGTCACTTTTCGTCTCAAGACACGTGGATTTAGTCCACGGAGTACAAAAAATAGTATGCCATTTGTAAACCTTTACATAGTAAATAAAACAAGGACTTAAAAACTACAAAGAAATAATGAAATTAAGAAAAATTCCCAAAATAATTATCAAAAATAACTTTCATTTGGAAGACCAAAGCATTTTATGAAATTTTCTGGATACACTATTTATGTATTGTTGTGTAAACTACGCCATGCGAACGTTTTATTTGGATTCGGCACCTGTAATAACGATGGGACACCCTGTATATGAATTTCAATTATTGTTAAAGTTAAATGTGGTTGTGTTTAAACGCAATGTCGATCATATTATTTGATTTCGAGGTAAATGTTTTGTATTAGAATTAATGATGTTTGATTTCCTTCAAATAATTCTTTTGTTTATTTTGTTTTGGTAATTGTAAATTTAGGATTATATGCTGTGCGATTAGATTTAAACATCTGAAAATTATTTGCGTAGTATTAATTGTAAAAGTTTATCTCATGTTTTTCTCCGGTCGTAGATAAGAAGTTTTCTTATCGTTGCAAAGTAATTAGTACGTGTTATCGCTGGCTAGAAAACAGAGGTGCAGTTTGATTTTTCGAAGGCGCGCATTATTTTGTTAAGGTGGAATGGACGAAAGTGAGGAGAGGGAAAAGGTTTTAAATAAGCGAAATTGACGTTCTTGAGGGTGATTATTTATATTTCATGAGCGTACAGTGTACATTATCGGCGTCAACATTACAATAGCGATTTTTTGTTTGGTGGTGGCCCTTAGTTTTTTGGACGTGATCCTAAAATGGGAAAAGACACACCAAAAAACCAACGCATATATAGCCTCAGTGCCTTATGATAGGAAAGAAGAAAATTAACGAGGAGGCGCAGTATAATCTGGGACCAATTGGAGAGTTTGGTTTGGCCTCCTCAAAGTAATAAATAATATTGAATTCGTTATTTTTATGGTCAAAGGACCCTCGATATGAGATTTGTCGAGATCAGAATTTTTTACACCTGTTCATAGCTGTTCCATCTCGACATTTGAATTTTTTACAAAATTCGAGACAAATCAGAGTGGACGTACCCCAATCTTCAATAAAACCTCTAGTTCTACTTAAGGTTTTACCCTTTCACATTTTGTGATTCTGGAGAAAAATAATCCCCTCAAAGTAACTTAATAGCGAAGATATACAGGGTGTTTTTTAAAGATGGGCCATAGAAAGTACACACCTAGCATAACGCAATGTAAAGGCGTTGAGTTATTTAAAATGAGCCATAGGGAAATTTACATTGCGCCAATTGTTCTCAAATCTTGGCCTTGCGCTTAGTTATTTCACAGTTCTCGATCTCAATCCTTCAAAATGTATCAACGAAGCAGCAACATGTATTCCGCCGCTCGAAAAGGTGTTCAGGTAGTACAATTTGTAGAAGAGTGGCCACAGTAGCTGAGTGGTATGCGAGCTATTCAGTGCCGAGTATCGGGTATTGTTTGGTTGCCGGTGTAAAACAATTCGAGTACCGTTTGTAATGTTATACATTTATATCTGGAAAATTTACTGACGTTCCCAAAGTGGTGCCATTATAGTCGAAAAATCGGCTATATGAGAACTAGTCATATGAGAACTTGTCATACCAATGATGTCATACCAACGGCCAGTAATTTTCCAGAACGATACCTCGATCACTTATTGTTCCGGACGTCTTTTTCCCGTGCAATTTTAGATTACGCCTTGATCACGTTGGGTTGTCCACAACTAAAGCAGTGTACAGTTCAAACAAAAAATACATGGGACGTTTAGAAGCCTCTTCAGTATATTTTGCTTGTACAGCAGCTTTTTTTAAGAATAATTCGTGCTTTCTAGTACTTCATTGTTGATAAGTAAATTTCTAGCCGACTAATTTCCAAACGTGTTACTATCAACCGAGCCAATAAGTTCTTCATAGACGCGATATAACTCACAACCTTTTTTAAGGATCGTTAGATTGGATAGGTAGACAATATTAAAAAAGCCAGATTTTGGAAAGAAAACGTCTGCGCGATAAATAAGTAAAAGTATGATATGTATTTCGCTTATATCACGGTATAATATGCGATAAAGGGCTGGGGATCCATATTAAAACCACACATACTCAGCAAATACGAATAAGGCCCTGTAAGTTCAGAGCTTTGTAGGTTTGAGTGTGGAAGAAATTATGAGGCAGAAAATATTTTGAATTTACAGTACTGCATTGCTCAAAACGCCGTTCCAATATTGTAAAATAAATCACGTGAGAGAAATAGTCGTAATGCTAGGAGAGCTACTGGAAGACTCCATGATTAATCACATTGATTTTAATCTTCCGACGTTGTAGTTCTTCTTATCGAGTCGTTTAACTTAATAATGGAGTGCACTTTGAAAAACTCTTGATACTTTAAAGTTTCAAGTTGTTCGGTTAACCAACCTTTACAAGAGATAAATTCTAAACAACGCTAAGCATTTTGAAATTATTCTACTGACTAAAGGGGTAGTGACAGGTAAGAGACACTATGCGGTAGAAGAATTTAATTATGTTATCATCCTAGCGACAGATTTAGATCAGCAGCCCGCAGGGGGTAGTCGAGCGTTTTATCCGAAATAAAAAATTAAGAGGGCCAAGTCGGAATCATAATTCAGCAAATATCTGCAATGCGTAGATTACAGCAATAAATCTTGTTGTATAGTTTTTCTTTGTATCAATTTTGAATGGAAATAATAATAAATAAACAACCGAATTGGCTGTATTTGTTATCCATAACTCAATAACATAAAATTGATTTTCATCGGCATCTTCAAGTTTTACAAGCATGCGGGATGGATAAAAGGAATTGAACAGTGGATGAAACCGAATGAGTTATAGCCAAATATTTTATATCCTCAGAGCTAATCTAAATTAGAGGAAATTGAAACAAAAACAAACAATAAAGCGAACCGTTTTGGCTCAAACCCAGTTTCCCATAGGGAATCTATCCGAGTTTTGGCGGGAATCAAAATATTTATCAGTGCACGTGGTTATTTGGCGTGAGTTAGGGATTTCCTCATTTATCCGAGCCAAGGTTTCTCTTTTAGTGGAGCAGCACCTCGACTGCCAATATGCGTTTCCATTGAGAACTCCAGTTGGCACATAAAGCACCCACACCTCGAGCCAACTGGGGTGCATATAATGTTTACATGCCCGGAGCCAACCCTGCCATTTGCCAAACTTCGGAAAACAGTTGGTTGTAGGAAATTGACTAAGCTTAGTTGTATTTAGTTTTATCTCTAGGCGCGTCGAACGGAAATTTGTGAAAAAAGCTCCGCTTAAAATAAATTAAATAAAAACTCACGTTACCGATTCTAAAATAAAGTGTTTAAAATAAACAAGCATTCCAGTGACAATCGGAGAAGCTGAACTAAACTGAAATAAATTACAAAGTTTAAAATAAACTTAATTTCTCTGCGGAATATGTCAAGATTTATACAGTGGAAGAATTGGGTCACGGAACGCGCTTTTAAATTTCATCTCCTAATTTATTAGTCAACTGTCGTTGTTAAATTTTACTAAAGAATATATCTAATTATCAACTATTTTTAGATAGGTTCCTGAAATTTATTAATAGATGTTTATTCCTCCTCACAAAATGCTATTAAAAATAGGTTTAATAAAAGTGCCGCCGAAATCCGCGCATGCAATTTTTTTGTGAAATACGGAAAAATGGGGTACTTACTTTTTTTCAATATTTCATTATTCCTGTGATATCATTTTTCGAGGTCCGTAAATAAGAGATAAGGGTAGAATTAAAACTCTTCGCAGAAACGCATCTTCGACGTCGGCGTCGTAGAGCACCTAGGAGCGACGAGCTCCTCGTGCGTACTGTCGCTGCAACGACGCCTGGCCAGGCTCCAATTCTTCCCCCCATTCCCCACAGTTTCCACATTCGCCAATCCTTCCTGCATTCGCGTTCTAGGATACAAATGCATTACTGTTTATGTGAACTAGCATATAGAAATAGAGAAGGATCTATATCTAAAGGACAGGTTGAACGAGGAGAGCCAACGAAATGCAAGTATGCAGAATTCTAATTACGAGGATTTAAATTAGTAGATAAGGGTGGGATGAACATGTCGTGATGCAGACATTAATTCCGAAACGCTTTAGCTGTTCGAAATCTAATGAGAATGTGGTATATTCTTACAATGCACACTATTAGGGGATTTTCTACGTCGCAGAAATATAAATTACTTAACAATATTTAAATCGGACTTAAATTATGTTGCTGTTATTGGGTGTTTTTTTAATGGGTCGTCATTACCATCAATTTGGTACAATTTAGAACATTTTATAAAGTGCAAATCTTGATCCTTTCTCACTATCCTCCAGTAAACGCATTAGTACTCGTACACGTATTTTTAACGTATTTGCGTGTAGTAAAATAATTCTATACACGATACACCCATGAACGTACACTTGCAAACGTAGTACGGAATTACTCGATGCCTTTCCAACGTAATTATCACGTGTTAAAGGACTTTTAAAAGGTGATCTACAGTTCGATTTAAGTACATCAATTACTACCGTTTATTAAATTATTGATTATTATAGTTATTTATTTATTATCCCCTTCTTGTTCTGGGCCGTCAACAGGCTTGCACCCAATTACAGAGTGACCCGCATAATGATTTTTAGAGGTGCATTTTCAACAAAACAAATAGAGCTGATTTCCTTTAAAAAAATTTGCGTAAACAAATGCACCCGTCGGGAAACCAGCACCGTCTTCTCGTTGTCTCCAGTTTTTAAGGACGCACCACTTCCACCATAAAACAAACTCCTTCTTTAAGAATTTGCAAATAAATCGCTAATCCCAACGGAAGGCGCCAAAACGTCCCCACTTCTGTAAATGAAACGCATAATTCTTCGTAAGATTTTCCTCTCTTTATCAGCGAAAGAACACGTGCTTTAATTAAATTTCACCTAACAATAATCCTTTTTATCGCAACAACCAGATGTAACCTTTCTTAAATAATGCAAATCGACCAGATGTGTCACACTTCTAATACCTTATCTAAAACTGAATAACTTACAAAACCGTTAAATTTAAGACGAACAAAATTACGGATCTAGCAAAATTTCTAAAAGAAAAAACAAATACGGAAATACAAATTGAAGTAAAATAAACCGTCATTGTGTTTATACCCAAATAACGTCTACATAACGTTGCTTACACAACAATACATTCATAAATACTGAAAAAATGTTTATTCTTTTAAAGTTGCTTAAAATAATCTATAACACCCAACATTTGATGAAACTTTGATATGTCCAAACAGCGATGAGCTAGGATGCTAAAAATGTACGAGTAATAAAGAGTTGTGCCACCACGATTTAGACGGAACAGTAGGTACACTTTCATCCAAGTGATCTATTCCTGCCTGTACTTTATAATTCCAAACTTCCTGAATCCGCAGCAAAGATTGATTGACAGTATCAAATTAATACTCCTTATGGACTTATGGATCTTTTGGCATTTCTAAATAAAGTTTGGAAGACAGTAGTGGGCAATGAAGTAGTAAAAGTGATGCACACCAAATAGCTTATTAATAATAAAATGAAAAAACAAAAACAAAAGCGATCTTGTGATTCCGAAATTGTAACGACTGTCCTCGATATTGTTGTGTAAACTATGTCATGCGGACGTTTTATTTGGTATCAGCACCTAAAATAATGTTGAGTGTGAATTTAAATTTTCTTTAAGCGTAAATGTGGTCGTTAATTTGAGAACGTTAAACGTAAAAATCAATTAAGTGTAGATAAGCGGATGTCTTTCGCCGTAAGTTAATACACGTGCGCAGTTTATCTTGCGACCACGCTTTAATTTGTGAAAAAAAGAAAAAGAAACGGTTTTAAATAGATAATTCGGGTGTAAATCGTGGATTTTTTGGTGGTAGACGTTAATCGTTTTTTTTTGTTGTGGGCGTTGAAATTTAGCCGCTTGTCGTTTTGCGTGTATTTGGCCGTATTTTTCCGTATCGAAGTTTTTGAAAAGACATTCAGTCTCGTTTAATTGTAAAGTTGTGTGGAAGAAAGTTAGACAGTGTAACGAAGCACCTATTTTTCGTTTTGAAGTTTCATACCCGAAGTTATGATCGCACCAATATTTGTGGAGTCGACCAGCTTTACTGAACACCCGGTATCTAAAAGCGTTTTAAGTGGGGCGCTCCGTTACGAAGATTGTCCTTCCGAAAATGTTTATTTCTGCGTAGAAGTAGGAGGTGTAGGTTAATATAACGTAGTGGATTTGTAGAGCCGCCCGTTTAGGAAAATAAGAGGCTGTATGTAATTTTCCGTGGTCCCGAAAAATGTTTAATTGTTTTTACAGCTGCCGAAAGCTCTACTGCCAGGGAATAAGAAACAGAATCAATCTTATTAAGTTTTAGGTTCGTTAATTACCCATTAATAGATTTTAGTTTTGTAATGGTATACGAAAATCCGTGCAGTTTAAGCAAAATATCAACGTGATAACAGATTACGCCATTTGACCTGACATTCCGATTATTTGGGTAAGTATAAATAAGTATATGTAGTTGAATGGCCTACTAACAGATAACAGCATAAGGGCATTACTGGACTGCCGAATTTGGAGATTTCATTCCGACTATTTGGATAAGTATAATTAAGTATAAGTAGTTGAATGGCCTACTAACAGATAACAGCCTCTGATTAAGTCGAGATTACATCCGTTAGGTGTGCCCTTAAAAAAGTTTTTGACACCGGTCCCAAAGACGTCTGGGAAGGGCGTAATTAATTAGAGAAGTTGTAATTTTTGGATGTAAATAACCGAATACGCCGGCCGACTTGGAATTACCTATGTTCACTCGTTGCCCGATGGCATAGCCGAACTTTATATAAGGTAAACGCTTAATTTACGGATCACTTTTGCAGTTGGTGGTTAACCGAAACGTAAATCTTTTGCCTTTTGCATTTTTGTCTTTAGTATTTTAACCGTGTTTAAAATCTTTCTGCCTCTTGCACATTACGTTTTGTAAGTATCATATTAAACTTGAATACTTTCCGTAAATTTATTTAGCATACAAACCGTTTAATTTTTGCTTTTACAGTCAGTTTATCACACCGCATCTGTAGCTTTAGCTTTTTCGTGCATAGTAGTTCCTGCCGCTCCATTAATTGCAAGGTATGGTTATTGCCACTTCCTGTTTCATTAATTATATGGGGGGGGGGGGGGTCTAGTTTTACTGCATTTGCTTTCCCGTAGAAACCGCTAAGTTTATTTTAGCACTCTCCAGTTGTCTAAATCGAAGTGTAAGTGCAAGTAAAGAAGTAGATTTCCAGTTCGTTTTTGAGTTTTGTTTGTGGGTTCTTTTTGTTGAAAATCGCAGTTACGACCGGACATTTTGGATTTCTACCATTTTATTGTAATTAAGATTCTTTAATTAGTTTGTTCAATCGATCGCTTGTGCGTGGTACTTTGTTTATAAGTCCTGTGTGCTTCTCTTTTTTTCAGCTTACTATCCTACCCGAAGTAATTTCCCTGAGACAAAGCTGCACAATATACCCCCCCCCCGCCCCCCACCCCCAGTTGTTCCATATATTCGAAACAAGCCACCCTGCTAAATATTAATACTCATTATTACCCGGTTTTAATAAATAGTGCAAAGAGTATTACGTTAACTAAAATTACAAAAAAAAACGTGGTGGCAAAGTATTAGTATAAAATATTAATTAATTCAATGCCGAGGGCAATTATTCAAGAATCTATGTCTACGCAATTCTTCCTAGAAGAATAACACCGTCCTTTTTTCCAGTGCTTGGCATGTTTCCTCTCGCTCCGCCTTTACACAAACCTGTTCGACAACAAGCGGAATTCCTTTTCCTGCCTCTCCGCTGCTTTTCTAGAAAATAAAAACCTACAGTATTTAAATCGAATTTATCGATCAATTTGGTTAAATCACAAACGTTGAAATTTAGCACTACCGGAGGTAAAGTAAACAAAGTTTGATACAAATAAAAATAAAAATAGTTATTACTGTATAGGTTTTTAGTAAATAATTCATGTGGAAGAGGAGGCGCCCTCTTTATGCATAAACATTTAAAACCCAATTTTTACCCATTTTTATCACTATTGTATCACACTTTGTTTACGTTTGCTCCGGTAGTGCTCAATTTCAACATTTGTGATGTAACCAAATTGAGCGCTAAAATCGATTCAAAGATTGCAGGTTTCTATTTTCTAAAATTTGGCTACTACCTGCACCTAACACACATCCAAAATATGTATAATTCAAGAAAAATCAACCCATTAAGGAAAATCTTTGCAAACGAGCCCATATGTAGTATTGCAGGTGTGCCAACTTTAAGCGCACATATCTCGAAGGGCAGTTTTCACACATAAGAAAACTTACGTGTGAATTTGTGGAAAACGGAGTGTCGGTGAAGGGAACTTACAGAGGGAGATTGCATTTCGTTTAGGTGTAGCACACCTTTTGCTGATATCAAAACGAATATCTGGAGAACAATGAAGGAATGCATGTTCTGGACGAGACATATCTTTTGGAGCATTAAGCGTGATTATCTCGAAAGCTCCGAAGTAGCCCCATCCATTCAGTAGCATATAATTTGAATGCGATCTAGGCGGCCCTTACCTACACTCCAATTAAATACCTACCTAAGAAATAAAACACCCCTGACTTTTGCATTTTACTACCAATTTACCTATGTCAAACTTGACGCTTTACAAGAGTTGTGTACAATTTGTATTTGTTTAGCTTTTGGTGGTTAAATGTCAGTTTAATGATTAATATAGTATTATTGCTTTACAAATTCCACAGAAAATGTGGGAATGGAAATAATTGTGCAGTAATGTTTCAGGTGCACACATAGATTATTTCCATGAACAGTCAATCAAATCAAATTAGGCAAGAAGA